CTCCTCCCCCTCCTCCTCCTCCCCTCTCTTTCTTTCTCTCTCTCTCTCTCTCTCTCTCTCTCTCTCTCTCTGTGTGTGTGGCGCGCGCGCGCGTGTGTGTGTGTCCATCTGTCTTTCTGAATCTATTTATCTCATATTATTGCGCCCCGTTTCTGTTTTCAGCCTCTCGTCAATTTTCTCCTGCTATTGGTGAAAAAAGAAACTCTAATCTATTTTGAATAAAGTTGGGATTACTTGCGATTGCAGGAGGTAAAGGTCGTCTAGTCCGAGTGTCAGAGGTAAAGGAAATTAGTAAGTGGCAGCCAAAGTTGGTGAGCCCCGAAGCTTGAACGTCCAGGAAACTGCACATTTATATTTTTTGATTACCCCCCCCCCTCCAAGCAAAATTCACAAACTGATGTGTTTTAAAATGGAAATAAAATGTGTTAAGGAAAAAAAAGTATAAAGTGGATGAAGATTGTGGACCGAGGAAAAAATGTCTGCATCTTGGATTTCATGATTTTAACGAGAGTCTGATTTCATGTCGATGAGGCTCAATTATTTTCCCGTCTAAATGCAATTACAATTAGCAGGGGTTGTGTAAACTCTTCCCTCTGTAGAAAGGACAAGAATTATGTCTAAGTGTATTTGAATTTCTCCCACGTTTACGAAAAGATTGAGTGGCTTTGGTGTATATCTTTTTATTTCACTTTTCCTTCCTCCTCTTGTGTCGTTAGATATCGTGACTTCAGAAGTATTCTGTCCAAAATGTACTAAAGTAGAGTGCACTTTGGACAAAATAGTTCTGAGGCGACGATACGTTGAAGGGGGAAGCAATATTAGGTCAAGGTCTAGCTGGTTCTTAGACGTATACATTTAATATATCAGTTTCTTGACATAAACCTCTCGAAATGTCAAAAAGTTCTGTTATCTTATCTGAACCTTCGATGGGTTTCTCTTTTTTTCCTGCAGGGTCATAGGTCTTTGATGAGCAGTGGTCTTCCGTTTTCTTGGCTGGCATGTTGAGACATAGGGGGTGGGGGTGGGGTGGGGGTGGGGGTTGGGGTGTCTGTTTTGACGTGTGGTGTGGAAGGCTGGAATGCGAGTGTAAAATGGAACAATTTTTGAAGGAGTTTGCTTGTTGTCAGTGAAATTGTCAGTGAAATTGTGTAAGGTGAACTGAACTCCGAGAGGATGGGTGCGTGCATTTTGTGGTTTGAGTTTTGGTTTCATATTATTATTTGTTTTTGTTGTTGTTGTTGTTGTTGTCGTTATCGCTATCTCACTATTAATAAAGAACTCTGTTTAACTCTGTGATTATTACGAAATAATCGCTTGCGTTTTCACAGGATAGCCCTGTTATTTTAATTTTTTATAT